GTTCATAGTGAAGGATGGTAGAAATACTTACGGATATATACAGCGTGAAATTCAGATATTTGGAGCTACAGGATATGAAGTTTCCTTTAAAGCTGCGATCCCTTCCGGTCTTTGCACCCGAGCATAAAGTACCTATACAGACAGGCATCACCTCAATGCTCAAGTCGGTCAATTCCAGCGTCTGAGTACTATCATATTTAAGCAGAAAGACATCTAAGTAGAGATAGAAACCAAGAAGTGGAAGTGCGTGCGTTCGCGCGCGGTCGCGCTATCGTCACGATTTTTCGAATGTCCTATACATTTAATAAAACCGATGAAGTTCTGCAATATGAGATACCACGATTTCTTTTTGTTCTTCCTTCTCTATTATCAGGATAGTAGTTGCATGAGGCTGGCAGTCGTGAAGGCATCGTCCCCCCTAAATTAATGGAAGAGGCATGAGGACCTCTCAATTGGCACCGCTCCTTCAATAACGCCCGCCCATCCCTGCCTGCCCAAGCAATCACGTTCACCTCGACAACCCCGCGTGCTCTCCGAAGGGGGATTTCGCGGACTCTCGACTTCATATTCGGAATTAGAGACATGAGAAGGCCCTTAAACGACGAAAACGTGGGAATCGAGAATCTGGGTGAACGGTGCCTCTAATGTGAAAGATCATGCGACTCATTTAGGGGTCGGCGGTCGAGATCTGGTCTCGCGATATTGTGTGCAGGTCTTGTTTGAATCGGTTTATAAACTAGCTTTTCTATCCTAAACATACATACAAACATACATACATACAGGCAGATGGACAGATGATATGAACCACTACTGCTTGACCAAGTCTGGCTTGGGATGGTAGAAAAGAGCAGAATGCATTACAATCTCAGAAAGGTTCCCTATAAGTGACGGTTGGTACTCTCCCACAATATCGGTAGCTTTACCTTCCAATACTAATAAACCATGTAAGCGTTGTTCCACCTGAAAAAACAGCTTTGTATGTATCCCTTGTACCTGTACTGCTGGTGCTCAAGATATACGGAACTACTAGATTCAGATGGCACCACTTTCAATAAATTGTGCACCTGCTGTTGCTCTTTCTTGAGCTCTTGCCTTCGCTTGTCCATCTCCTCCATTTTTTGCTTCTTTTCTTCAACATAAAGCTGATGTAAACTCTCTAATCGCCTTTCCTTTTCCTGCTCGACACGAGCTTTCAGCTGAGCCTCAGCCCAGGCCTG